ACACGTGACGAGAGTGCATACTCCTATTTGCTTAGTCACAAGACACATATCGAAAATTCATACCTTATTTTCTTTTACCATATAACACTTTATATTCAATTTAATATTTTTGTATGATCATCTGATTCATTTATAACCCAACCCGTTGGCAGGCTCAGGACATGTGATGGCAAAAAATTAAATGAGCTAAATGTGATCATAAGTGATAGTAGTTTAATTTTGATGATAGTAAAATAGCTCTTCAGACATATGATAATCGCTAATAATTTTGGTATACTTGAGAATGATGTGGAATTCATGAAAGTCAAAACCTCTTCGTGATGAATAAACATTTTATTTATTTATGGACCTTATTGGACTAATACTTCAACAATGGGAAGTTCCTTTTAAGTTAAAAAAACGTGAAACATTTTCATTAAGAGAGTCTTTGCCTATTGGATAATAATTCTTAATTACAACTAAGTACTCATTTTAATCGTGGTTAGAATAGAATATCATGATTTAATTTAAACTTTTTGGAGAATATGAAGATAGATTATATGGTAAAGGTTCATTGCATCTTAGACTTGATTTCCTTACGATTTTGGATATATCTAATTAAGTAATAATCATTTAATTTGTATTTTATGGTATAAAATGAATAAAATAATGGATTCAATAAATAATTATGAACGATTTGATAATAATTAAAAGAAAAAAAAAAGGTCACAACAATTTGTATATAAGAGTTTGTGTTTATATACGAGTAGTTAATTTATACATCATAAAGCACATATAAGTGCAGAAGCAATCAGAATTATCTTTCTTTCACAAGTTAATTTGTCGTTCACAAAATCAATATTAGGTTTTTCACAGGATTTTTACTTTATAAAAATTTAATTAACATGAATATAAACATAATCTCTCTACTCATAACGAACAAAACAGTTATTATCTTTATTTATTAACGAGTCATCTAAAGTTTCACAAATATGCATAGCTTTAAAGGAGACAAAGAATGGGAGGAGCAAAATCTCAATAATGCACCAAACCTATTTATGATTTTCAATTTATTGGTTTTCTGTGCCTATAGTGTCCTTTAAGAAAAATATTATGTTTACAACTCAATTTCGCAACCCTAACGTGATAGCATATTGACACTATCACGTTAGCTCCCAATACACCCGAGACACTACTAGAAACCCTAGTTAGTAAAAACGCGTATTATACGTGAATTATACGGATAGCCGTATAATTCACGTATAATACTCGCGTATCCGAATTTTGTAAAATCTACCGTATAATTCGCGTATAGTAAGCTGTACCGTATAATTCGCGAATTATTCGCGAATAATTCGCGAATTATTGAAAAAAAAAAAATATAACCTCACACCCCCAAAACGACGTCGTTTTGGTGGGTTTATACAAAAAAATTAAAACAGAAACAGATCTGGTTCACACTTCACTGGTTCAGTTTCAGTCGTTCTTCTTCAAATCTTCGGCAGTTCAACAGCAGTTCTTCTTCCTCAGTTCAGTTCTTCTTCAGCTTTTCTTCCTCTGTTCTTCATGTTTTCAGCTTTCTTCATCTCTTATTCTCTTCTTCCAGGCTTCAACTTCAAGTTCGGGACTTCAAAGGTACACACTTTACACTTGTATCATTTTGGTTCAGCGTGAGTTCTTCATGGAGAGGAAGAGAAGTATGAAGAGTGTGTTTCGTTTTGGAGAATGAGAGTTTCAGAGAGTGTGCGAAGTGTGAGTGTTTGTTTAGAGAGAAAAAAAAGTTTTTTAATTTATCGGAAGAGAAACAGTGTGGGGGAGAGTGAAAGAGAAAGAGAAACTAATCTTTAACTAAATTAGGAAAAGGAGAAAGAGAGTAAAAAAATGAAATAATTGAATATTGATTATTGATTATTACTAATAGATACGGTGTCGTATCATTTTCTATTAGAGTATCAGGTTATAAATAGTCAAATTTCAATACAGAAAAATAGGAATTTTTTAATCCTTTTAATTAAACCCTCACTTCATGCATGTGTTTGGTAGAATTCAAAAACTTGATAAATGAAAATAAATTATATTGACCCTTCATGACTTAATTTAAAAACTTTGGTTAATTTATATTTTATAGGAATTTTTAATTAAAAATTCTTTATTGTTTATTTGTGTTATTGGTTAATTAAATACTTTGCATTTGATCAGGTATTTGATGATGTTCTCTACTTCTCTTTTATGTTCTTGTAAATACAGTCAAATTGAATACTTTTGTATTTGAAATGTTATGTTGATTTTAACCAGGTAGTCCATAAAAGTGTTAAAACTAAGATTGATATTACCGTATTTTTCAAAACGTATTATTGACAATGCACTGTATTAAACCCGTATATACCCGTATCGTATTTTTCCCGTATCCGAATTTTATGGCCAAATTTTTATAAACGTATTTTTCACCATTTACCGTATTATACCCGTATAATTCCCGTACCGTTTTTTTGCCATACCCGTATTAACTAACTAGGCTAGAAACAAACGGTCATTCCTTTAAAAGGAACAGATGTTTCTTTAAAATTCCTTCAATAAGGAATGACTATTCACTAAGAAGGAACAATCATTTCTTAGGTCTAGTCAAAATCATTTTTTGCCTTAGGCGCGGTTTTGGCGTGACAATGCCAACTTAGCTACCACATCGAGGTTGTAAAAGAAGTTTGTGAGAATAAGATTAAGTTGTAAGCATAACATTACTCGTCCTTTAATGGGGACAAGAACTTATAAAGAAAATTGGAGTGAAATGTTTTTCTTAGTTTGTATGTCCCCTCTGATGCCAAAATAGCAGTCGTTTTAAATTTTGATTTCGTTTATTGGCATATATACCATTTATTATTACCGGTAAATATTATTGTGTGATACTCCTGATGTATTCAAGATTTTTTTCAAGGATATTGTCAAAATTAAGAGGGCAAGAGAGGCAATTAAAAAGAATCGGAGTATGCCCGAAAGATATTCTTGAGAGGGCAAGAGAGATAATTGAAATGTCAAAGTATGCCCAAGAGATATTTGAAAGGAATTCAATTTAATTGTATTTAGTTGTTGTTAGGGTGGTTCAAAAGCGATTAACCGAACCGGTTAACCACTTTCTTGAATCGAACCGGTTTTTCGGTTCAGGAAAATTCTTGAACCGAAACTGAACCGGTTTGGGGGGAAAACAGGTTTTTCTATTAACCGAAAAACTGGTTAACCACTTTGAAAAAACCGGTTAACCGGTTTTGAACCAATTTTCTCCTTTTTATTGGATAAAACTTATTTTTAAAAAAATAAAATTTTCCTAAATTAAATTGTAAACATCAACAATACATATCCAAATTAAAATTAAACATTCATACATATCCATTGATCACAACTAACAATATATTAAAAATTGATACAAATAAAAGTTCAAAATTAAACGAAAATAAAAGTCCGTAATGAAACGTCCATAATAAAACAACAAAATAACTAAATAAGTCCCAATGGAAAACAACAAAAGAAATTGTGCAAATTTAGGGATTAAGATTATTATAGTAAAACGGGTTTCATTTTTACCTGAACCGAAAACCGAACCTAAAATCTGTTTTTTTGAATCCTTTGAACCGTAATCGAACTGTTTTTTTGGTTCGGTTCGGTTTTTGCATTTTTTTTTAACACTCTAGTTGTTGTGAATTGTATGTGAATACATAACCTATTTATATAAAAGTGTAATAGCTATGTAAGGATAAAAAATATTACAATAATAATGCAATTTCTACAATTAATGAAATAGAATAATATATAAAATATAATAGGAATGAAAATAATGTCTCACACCCATATATATATATTGGTAAATAAGTAATAAAATAATGTCACATATTTTCATTCCACATTCGCATGTCAACAATGTTATACTTAATTCGTAATTCTTTTTAATCCAAATCATATATTGAAGTCCGTAAGCATAAATTTGTATTTGAGAAGGATATATTAGGACCTATTTGTTAAAAAAATAAAAAAATATTAAAATTATTATACATATTATATATATATATATATACTAAGTATATTATATATATATATATATATAGTATTATATAGTTCGTCATTCATAAAATTCAATTAAATGTATGAGAGAAAACTTTCCAAAAAAAGAATAACAACAAAGAAGCTGCTGTCATAATTTATAGAACAGCCGCTACCTACTGAGGGGGTGTTTGAGGGTGTTTGTCTAAGCTTATAAGCTAGTCAAACTAGTTTATAAGTTTTAAAATTAAGCTGACCTATTTATTTTATAACTTTTTTGAGCTTATAAGGTGAACTTATAAGCCAAAAAAATAAGTTGGGGGGAGGTACTTTTTTTTTTTTTTTTTTTTTTTTTTGCTTTAAGCACTCGCTTATAAGTTAGTTTGATCAAGTATATTACCATATTATCCTTGTTTAATTTTAAAATTCCATAGTATATCTTGTTTAATGTAATAATCTTTTTAGTCATTTTATAATAAAATGTACTTATAAGCCAAATTTTACCAAACACGTCAACTACTTATCATTCACTTATAAGTACTTTAACTAAACACGTAATTGCTTAAATTTCAAATGTTTATAGCTAAAATTAGCTTATAAGCACGTGTTACTTATAAGCTACTTTTAACTTATAAACATTTGAAATTTTAAGCAATTACGTGTTTAGTTAAAGTACTTATAAGTGACTGATAGTAGTTGACGTGTTTAGTAAAATGTGACTTATAAGTACATTTTTCTTATAAAATGACTAAAAAGGTACTACATTAAATAAGGGTATACTATGAAATTTTAAAATTAAATAAGGATAATGTGGTAATATACTGGTCAACTGCTTATAAGCAGAACAAAAAAAAAAAAAAAAAAAAAGTACCTGCCCCCAACTATTTTTTTTTTTTCTTATAACTCAACTTATAAGCTCAAAAAAGTTATTAACAAACATGTCACTTAATTTTAGAATTTATAAACTAGTTTGACCAGCTTATAAGCTTACACTGTTGATCACCCATTCACATTCTCAATGCTGCAAAAAGGAAATAAAAAATAAAACAAACACACAAAGTTACATATAGATTCGGCCTTTCCAGTACTTTCCGCCAAGAATCCTGTGAATCCTCAACCAAATTGACTCTGGATTCAGCCAAAATGCGCTGTAACCTAAAGTCTCCTAGTAGAGAAACAAACAGAACCGACGTTAATTGACAACATAGATTGTGAAACACATCTGCCTCCTCATGAGTGCGAAGAGTCGTTTTCATTATTGACAAAACCATGAAGCTTTCTTTCCATCACTTCTGTACATATCTGGCTCATCATCAGGTAGAAAGACATGAGATCGGATAACCTCTCCACTGACATCTTCCCCATCACATTTCGAGCTATTCTTTCTCTCTCTTCATTCAATTTCAATCTCTCCAGGTAGGAATTTGCATTCCTCACTGTTGCACCCATTTGCTTCAGCCTTTTCTCTTGTTGCAAACTGAATGCTGTGTTTGACTGTAAAATTAAATTACAAACAATTAAAAAAAAGGTTACATCTATACCAATAAATTAATCAAGTATTTTGTCTTACCTCAAGAAAATCTGCCCCTGCTTGAATTAGTTTAGATTCTTTTGATGGATTCATGACACGGCCAGACATATACATGTCTCTTGCCAAGGAGAAACTCTTGATTATAGTTTTTCTTTTGTTCTCAATTTCTTGGTTTAGATTTGGGGGCTTTGGGACACGAGCTGAATTACTGTTAAGCTTTTTCTGATAAGCTATTACGGCCTTCACAAATTCCTGCACAATTTACACCAGAACTCAAAATCAACAACTTATACATTAATATGAATATCTAGAAATCTAATTGGATAATTACAAAACCTGATATGCAGATGGGCATCCTGGATAATCAAATTCATCTGAATCAGGCTCCCTCATTCGTTCAGGATGAAATTGGAGTCCCATTATGAACTTACCCTCTTCAGGATTATAAGCATCTGGATCATAGAACCCTTCAATCAAACCGTCAGGTGCAAAAGCCATTGGCACAAAACGTTGAGCTAATCTCTTAACACCTTGGTGGTGATAACTATTAACCCAGATCTCCATTTTTTCTTCCTCCAAAGAATCCTTAAACCAATCATGCAAAGGAGTTTTTTCCACCACTCTCACCGCATGCCTGTGCCCATCATAATTACCATAATCAATGTGCACAACTCTCTGGTTTTCAGAGCATTTCTTTGAGACTTCCTTCTCTACATCTTGGTAAAGGGAACCTCCACTGGCAACATTTAATACTTGGGACCCTCTGCAAATTCCCAGATAAGGTATGTTTCTTTCCAGGCAAAGTTTCGCGAGCCTTAGCTCGATTGAATCCTTTTCTTTATCGATTGCAGTATCACTTGCATGCAGTCGCCGGATCTCTTCCAATTCCTCCGGTGAAAGACTTGACGTTTCAGCTTCGTATAACGACGGATCAATATCTTCTCCTTCACAAAGAAGAACACCATGAATCGGCTCAAAGCTATCTAATAACATATGCACCCCATTAACTCGAGGTACAATAACTGGCACTGCACCGTAACGAACTATAAGATCAAGATGATATTCACCTGAAAATCAATCATCACAAAGTTTCAAAACATTTCATTGATATTTCACAAATTAAAAAATATTGTTTACGTATGATGTACTGAGAGAGTAATGGAGCTAGCGTACCAACAAAATCTACAAATTTGTTCTTGCGAACAGTACGTCTGGAGACGATGAGAACACGAGGGAGAATCACAGAGAGATCAGGAGAAGCCATAAGTATGTATTGATGCTTTTTTGTATACGTTTTGGTTCTATTTATATAAATTTAGAGTACAAAATCGATTAGCGTTTGATTTGGTAGTAATATTTATTTATTCTGGAAAGTTGGAGAGTAAGACATGTGCACTAGCTCCAGGCGCCGCAGCTAATTTCCTAATATAGAGGTTGGCATGCCACGATTAAAATTTTACACAACTTGGGGGACATTTTTTTCCCTTTTTTTTTTCTCATAATAAATCAACTTTTTTTTCTTCAAAAAATCACAAATAAAACAAAAAAATGATTATCTAGTAATAATTGGGAAAATATTCATCTATTCTCGTCCTGTAATTAAATATATTTTTTTTTAGTTTTAAAATATTCGAATATCCTCTCTGAATGTTAGTTTTACGTCTAATTTTATTGGGATTATATTTAAAAAAATATTTGATTATTTGCTTATATTTGTACAAGATGATACTTACTCTTAACATATGATCGGAATTTGGAAGTGATAAAGATTGTTTAAACAGTAGGTGGAGTTGGGTTTGGTGTCTTAAGAATAAAGTGTACTGACACGTGGCCATTAATGTTTATCATGATATTGGGGGAGGCATTTCTGAGACGGGTCAAAGATGAGCTGGGAACAAGGGAACAAGTAAGTGTTTGGTGAAGAGTAAAAGACATTTTCCCAACCAAGGTTTGCCTTAATGACACTGTTAACCCAAAAAATTTCAAAATTCCACTTTCCCACCCAAAGTTTATATTCTATTAATACTCAAAATATACTTCATTTTCTCAGTCAGTGTTCAATAAGTTATCATGAGCCAGGATAAGAGTGGAGGTCAATGGATTTAATGGTGATAACTGATTGAATATTCATCGTCGAAATCAATCGAAAATCAACTAAGAATAATAAACCATAACTTTGCGGTAGTTAGCAATCAATGAGAAATCAGGTATCGAAATGAGAGGGCTTTTGTAGAGAGGAGACTGGAGGTTCAAATGGTGTGATCAAGAGAATTTTTATCGCTAGAATCAATCAAAATTGGTTTTGGATAATAACAGAATATTAATTTTGAATGAGAAAATGGTATTTTGAAACTTTTTTGATGGAAAAGTGTTATTAAGGCAAACCTTTGGTGAGAAAGTCGTTTACTCTTTAGTAAATTGAAATACTAATTGGATTAGTAGATGATGTGGCAAAATCAATGCCTCGATTTGGTTTGGTGGTGCACTTATCCAATTTTATTTGCAACACAACACTAGATTTCTTTTTATTATTCAATAATGCATGCACGTAAAAACTATAAGTACAAAAAAATTATCAATATTTTGATTCACGATCTGAAATGTTTTTCAAAGATCCAGATATTATTTAAAATTTATGGATATTATTAAGTATAATATACTAACTGTCTCTGCCGGTCTTAATTGTTTTTAAAATTTTATTGGAATACTATTTGTAAAAATATATGTTAAGCAAAGCAAAATAGACAACGTTACTTGATGAGAAATGGGGTCAAAATGTGTATTTTTTTTCCATTTCTACAGATAAATTAATATGACCAAAAAGTAGCGAACGCTCAATCTCTTTGACCGCCTTAATTCTTATCAATATAATAAGAGCAAACGACATATGCGCACTCCACGTTTAGCGAAATTATAAATTGATACCATTGGCTATATTTATTTTAATTCTCATTCTTAAAGAAATATAGTTTCTTTATTTTAACCATTTCTCCAGATTTCATTCTTAAAGTTACATCGTTTCTTTTATATTAACATTTATTATAGATTTTTATTCTTAAAATAACATCATTTCTTTTATTTTAATAGATTTTTAATTTTTTACTATAATGCATCATTTTTTTTATATTAACATTTATTATAGATTTTCATTCTTAAAATAACATCGTTTCTTTTATTTTAATAGATTTTCAATTTTTCACTATAATGCGACGCATGTTAAAATGTATCACGTTAAAATGTGTCAACTCTTTTTTGGGTAGAAGACATGCTTATTTTAGAAAAAAAAAAAAAAAATGGCTCACGTTAGTAGCGTCCAAATCGATGGTTTTCGCTTTTTTCGGTCGATTTTAAAGTACAAAATTACTTCCAAGACCAATAGACCACTATTAGACTCCCCATAACCTCCTCTTTAGAACTCATACCTTCACTTACCAACCTCATTTACCATTTCCAACCATCTCCAAAAATCACTAACAGAATTAATTTAAGGGTGAGAATTTGGAATAAAGGGTGAGAATCTAGAATATATGTAACCAAAAGTATCAATTTGAGATTTTGCTAAACCTCGGGTGAGAATATGTAGTGTACTCGTATAATAATAACAAACCTTTGGGTAAACAAGTTTGCTGCTAAGTTTCTATTTTATTAGTGGAGCCAATCAAAGAACAAAATTAAGACTTGGCTTTGCTTCATCTGTGGCTTTTATTATTCTACATTATGCAAGATTTACAGAATATAGAATTTTTTTTGTAATAAAGAAAAAAAATGGCTGTGTAACTTTTTTTTTCTTCAGCTTGTGTTTAAAAACTGATGCTCTGAACAAAGAGGCGATTCAATACAACTGGGACTTTCAAGAATCAAAGTTGTTAGTGCTGGATCCTCAATTCAAGTACTAAAAACACTCTCATTCAATCTTCACTGAATCCTAGTAATTTCTTCAGAAGGTGGCTATAAGAAACAGAAAACTATTCAGCAATTTCAGTTAATCTGAGGAAACATCTACGGGCGGTTTTATTTGGAGTGGGCTTATTCTGGGGAGGTGTTTTAGCATTAAATGAACGTAACTCCTCCAGAAGTTGCCAAATTAATCTGTGGGATCCTACTCCTACACTGGCCCTGGCCCTGGCCCCCCGCCCTCCCTGATCCTCGTGAACCTTAAAGCATTAATTCATTATAACTGCTGAAAGTTGGTTATATAAAATTGTTGTCAATCACCTGCCAAGTGTCGAAATCTCTGCTGATCTGCACTGATGCATGGATGCCAATGTGTCGGAAGTTCATAACAGCTGGCTTGCAAAAGTCTTTATTGTAGAGCCCATATTAATAAATAATCCATTTTCTGGAGGATGAATCACCGGCAATTTTTAATCAGCAAGTTTCCAATATGTCTCCTTGTATGTATAAAGACTACATTTAAGCACCAGATTCATATGGTTACACTTGACTTTGTAAATGACTTCATTCTCAATTATTAGTCGCCTGAAAACGTCATATCACAGAACCGGTTTGTTCATAATGTTCTAAAACTTCGTACAACATAAAATCGTGTACAGTAACAATCTGAAATCTCTTTCTGACTTTTTAGTAGGTGGATTTTTCATGATTAAATAGCTGTTTAATTATGTTGTTAGACTTGTACCATAATTTATATCTAACCCTGGTTACTAAATAATTACACAGTTTACACTTTAATAAAACTGAAAAGTTAAGCACTGACATTAATTACTACAAATAATTGAAGATTATTAGATGAAATGTAGAAGAGTAATCCTTTATGTTAGAATTGGGTTAATTTGCAATGTTGTAAAGAAAAGGGGTTTGTAATGGTATGAAAGAATATAAAACACAACGTTTTAGAGTCTCTTGTCTTTTCAAACGCTACGTTTTACATTTGTACACCAACTATGTAACAGTTGGTACTTGTCTTCCTCAATAACAGAAAATTCACACTTTTTCAACAGATTTCAATTCAGTTAAGTTTTCAGTTTTTCTTCGTTTTCAGCTTAATCACAAATACCTTTTATGGTATCAGAGCCAAAGACTAACGTTGATGACAAACATGAACTCTGAATCTTTTGTTAACTCCTCCAAGATTGATGCTACGCAGCTCAGTAATGGCGGGTCTCAGAACTTTACAAGTCACTCCTCACTTCCAAATCTTTCCGTAAAGCTAGTAGAGAAGAATTACAACTACTGGCGCTCTCAAATTCTACCAGCCCTAGCCTCTCACGAGCTGGATAGCTTCATTCTAGGTACGAATCCTTGTCCTCCTTTGTTTGTAATGGAGAAAGTAGAAGGTAGTGAACATTCAATTAAACAACCAAACCCTAAGTATTTCAATTGGAAAAAAATTGATCAGTTTTTAGTGAGTTGGTTGCTCTCATCAATTTCGAAATCTATGTTTAGACATGTATCAAAATGCAATAGTGCATATGAGATTTGGAATACACTAGAATTGCATTTTCAATATGTTTCAAAGGCCAGAACACTTCATCTTAGAAACTTGTTACAAGTTACTAAAAAGGAGTCACAAAGCATGAATGACTATATTTTAACAATGAAGGAGTTAGGCGATGAATTGAATGATAGTGGAGTGCACATTAGTGATGAAGAGCTGTTGTTATACATATTGGATGGATTAGGGTCGGAGTATGATGCAATAGTAGCTAATCTTGTATCCAATGTGAGTCATACAAGTTTTCAAGAAGCATAGTTTCTACTTCATAAGTATGAAATGCGTTTGGAGAAACAGAACAGTGCGTTACTGCACTTTTATGAACAAATGTCATCTGCTTTAATCGCCCTTGAAAGTGGTGTAGTTGAAGGACCTACCTCTATTGCTCAAAATAATTCAGGAGGTGTGTTAAATCACTCAGCTGCAAATGCCTATCCTCAAACTGGAATGACAGCTCAATAATCACAACCTCCTCAGAATGTCAATTTTGGACATACTGGTTACTCTCAACACTTGAATGGAGTTCTAGGACTGAATCAACTAGGACATTACAGAGCTGAATATGACAGAATGGCATACAACACTACACCACAAGGTTTCTTAAGAGGTTTTGTGCCTTTTTTTAGAGGCCAAGAAAGAGGAAGAGGCTATAGTAAGCCAAGATTAATGTGTCAAGTATGTGGAAAGCCTAGCCATTCAGCTCTTCATTGCTACCACAGATTTCACCATGACTACCATGGGTTTTCCACAATTGGTTTTCCTAATGTAGGTCTTAATCAATCATACCCTGTTCCTGACTCTACTCATTC